TATTGGTAATAATTATTTTGTTTGGAATCTCGAACAAGGAAAAGAAATTATACCTGAGGGAAGTAGTGGTATAAGCTGACTTAGTCCCCTTTATAAGTAAGTATGAAACAAAAAATAGATAACCATACAATCTTCTATTTTCAAAAGCACATCACTAGCAGAGTGATTAGTATGTCGGCTTGAGAAGGCTTGAGCTATGAGTTTAAATTCAGGTCGTCCCCCCCCCCTTTTTTTTTGGTTATAGATGCTTTTAAAAAGGTATTACGATGAAATTCACACAGGTATCCCCCCTCCCCCCCCCCCCCCCCCCCCAAAAAAAATATTTTCACAACTGGTCGAGACAATTGATAGGATCACAGCGTATTTAGAAAGCTAATAGCATGAAATAGTGCTAAACAATTGGTAAAAATATTTCTAATCGCACAGATTTTATGTTGTTTGTCTAGTAGATCTATTACAAATGTAATGACATGTCAGATGCCAACGAATTGATACAACTATATTTTATATACGTTTTTTTTTAAAAGTATTTTTATGTTTTTCTTGTTTGTTTTTTATTCCAGAATGGGGGATGGACACTTTATGGTGGAAACAATTACCCTCTCAGAGGAGGAAAGTTTACAATATTCGAGGGAGGTACACGTGTTCCAGCTTTCCTACATGGACCAATGTTACAAACTCAAGGCAAGGTTTATAACGGGTGCGTAAAAGAATAACAATGAAATCTTGTTCTAGCTCCAAGCCTTACATGCCACAGTCCAGTTTATATATGGATACATCCTCAATACTACACACGACTGAGAATTGTATAACTTATAACTTTTTATTTCCAACTGTACAGAATGATGCATGCAGTGGACTGGTTCGCTACGTTGGTAAAGGCTCTCAATATATCATACAATGGTAAGACTTCACATAATCAGTTTGTATAAATGTATGACTCCATCTATAGGAATCATGAGTGGTTATATCTAGTGCATTAATACTCGTGTATATTTGAGACCCAAAGAAAAACCCTTGCCAAAGACAGGTGCCTACAATGAAAAGAAAACTTAAAGAGACACACGGCGGACAACGGCTTTGTCTGCAGAAGATGTGGCAAAATATGTAGGCTACAGCTGACTGAAATACTGCACACATCATTGGTCTTGGAAATAAAAGGCAGTACTCGTCCAAATAGATAAATGTTGACTTGACTAAAACATTCTACTTCACTAACCATCACTAGACAATTTCATTGAGATAACTGACCAGGATAGTCTTTGACTTTTTAGTCTATTTGTTGTACAGACATATGTTCATTCTTTGTAGAGAAAAAAACAAGAATGTTGAAAAGTTTCTTTTCTGTCAAATATTGGTTTTAATTGATCTTTTTTTTTAACTTTGTCTTCATTAAGATTGTCTTCTTTTAATGAATTGTTTAATTACTGTTTTTCTAATTATTGTTTACCTTTAGATCCAGATCAAGATGGTGTCGACCAATGGGAAGCAATTAATTCATTAGGGTCATCCAAGAGAACAGAACTGATATACAATCTAGATTTCCTGTTTCCTCCATTGCAAGGAGAGGCAGCTATTAGGTAATGGCTTTATATTGTTATTAATGAACAGTGACAAGTAGAGGTCAACGTGTGACCCCAGCGAGATGACACTGCAGCCAGTGTTCTCTGGAATCTACGGGTATAAACAAGGACAGGATGTGACGTGTCCTCGCGTGTTGTTCCAGGGGATAAATAGATCTAAGAAGGGGGCAGTTACTAATGAACAGTAACAGATAGAGGTCAGTACGTGTGACCCCGGCTTGATGACACTGCAGCAGGTGTTCTCTGGAATCTACATGTAAAAACAAAGACAGGATGTCACGTTTCCTCACGTGTTATTCCAGAGGATACTAGCCGTGTTTGTGCAACTTTTGACAAGCGATTAGGGACTCTATATAAGCCAGAGAATTATTGTGAAAGTCAGTCGTGAGTGAGCCGTTACAGTCGATACAGACAATGTAAGATGTGTGCGGCTCTAGTGGAAGAGAAATGTGTACGACTCGATGCAAGTTAACTAGGGTAGAGTTAACTGGAGTGGACTACTGTCGTTAAAGTCTATACAGCGAACTACAGTGAACTTTAGCCGTTACAGTCGATACAGTCGATGTAAGACGTGTTCGGCTCTGATTTGGTAGACTTGAGTACCACTTGGTTCAGCTTTGGGAGACCTGGAGCGACACTGGGAAGTGTGTCGTTGGTCTGTTCTGTGGAATACGGCTCGATGCAAGTTGAGAAGAGATGAATTGCAACGAAGTGAAGAGATGAATGCAATGAAGTATAGCTAACTGTAAACTGACAGATATTGTACTGTCTTCTACGCTACATGTTACAGTGACGAATTGTTAGAGTTAATAGTCATTAAAGTTATATGAAACTGAAAGTTGAGTCGTCAAGTTCTTTGCAGCGTTTTTATTTGTGTGCCTACTAGTACATTTAGCCAGAAGATTCAGAAATACGTAACAATATTTTAAAGGTCTTGTCAATGAAAGTCTACGTTATGTGTAATTGCCATACGACACGGCATTCACCAAAAACATAAAATTGCTTATATATGCTGCAAGATAAACCAAGATTGCTGGTGGTTCCATTGATAATAGGACACTGGAAAAGATCTAATCGTATATAATACAGACATTAGTTCAAAAAAGATGATGATTACGTCCTAAGCGTCATACATTTAGTAATGCATATTAACCAATGAACTAAATACTGCAAAGTCACTGGACCAAAGAGTACTAATCCAGTTTTGTCGCCTGGAAAAGGGCTGGGTAAAGAAAATAATTTACCGAAGTAATATTTCTGACTTCAGTTGGTTGGGCTTTTGTTTGACTTATTCCCCTTTTGTAATCTTTTCTTCGTGACACGAAACTCAGTGTCATTACACCGACAACTGAGATGGAACTTAGCGCAGTCATTTCTCAACATGAGATTCAGAAATCTTAGCTGAAACATCAGATCCAGAAATCTTAGCTGAAACCTGAGATACAGAGATCTAAGATAAAATCTAGAATATCATTTTCTAGCATAACACTGAGACCTATTGAATAAAAACTTCTTTTTTCCTATGATAAAACCACTTTTTATGTATTTATTTTTTAATCAATCAGGGTCGGTGACTTCAAACTTATTGAGGGCTTTCCAGGATTATTTCAAGACTGGTATAAACCTGCTGAGTTAGATCAAGGTGTTAATTACACCATGAAATCTTGGACACCATCTGATGTGTTACCTCAATCTGTACAGACCATGTTGAATCAAGGCGTTTATCAGTATTTATTTAATATAACAGGTAGCCTTCAAAAATGAATCTGTTGATTGAGTTTGTTTAAAAATGATAACAACGTATTTCTAAAAATATATTGATATAACTGTTAATTTAGTGATATAATGGAGAATTTTCATTGCTACAATATCATGACATAATCCGTATCACATTTTAATAATTATCGTGGAAGGGGAATAATTCTAAGTAGTGGCATTATATTTTAAGAAATGTTTTACCGCGTCATCTTAGACATCTAGAAACCATGGTCGATAACGATATATTGAAAGCATGGGCGTAGCCGTCGGGGGGGGGGGGGTGAAAACTCTGGACCCTGTTGAAGGAGATCACAGCGCTCCCCCAGACCACCTCACTTGCAATGGCAGGGTGTCAACAGTCTTTTCTCACCACTAAAGGAAGAATAAACGTCCAATATACGTCTTCAGAAAGAATGAAAGATCGAAATTTATTAATGAAATACACACACGCACACACACCTCAAAAAAATCCTGGCCCATGATTGAAAGTGCTGTTATGTGTCTACTATTTCCAATAATGTCAGGCCCATAAAAACTTAACTACTGTACTAACAAACTGACGCCTTCTTTGGAGTTTTTTATGTACATAACATCAATTTGTTTAATGACAATAAAGAAATAAGATTTTAAAAGTGCTATATAATATTTATCAGCCTGTGCGATGTTACTAATTAATAAATCACAAAAGTATTCTCGACACGATTTAATTGCTTCACTCAAACATTATTAAAAAAGATTTCTCGTCGACACTTAATCATCAACAGTTTCCAATTCTTGAAGACTCACTAGAATAATACATTAATTTATAGAGCAATATTAACAACTATACAGTAGGCTTAAGGCGTTATAATAACATAACTGACATAAACACGAGAGTTAAAATGACAAACAGGGGTAGTGAGTTCCTAACCTTTGGTCCATGCACTAAAAAGGCAGCAAACCATAACTTTTGAGGGAGAACAAGTTCAGTCACGTCATTTCTAGAATCTGCACGTGTACGAAATAGTTTCTTGTTACACAGGCACTGGCTAGTATCAGGCATAAAACTAAACATTAGATATGCAAACAACATGGCGTGGGTTAACAGACCTCTATATGTAAAATAGTTACTGGTCATTTTCAAAACTCAAAACATTGAAGGATTATATATAACATAGGTCAAAAGTAGTCATCCATTCAATAACACTTAATAACTTAGACTAGACGAAAGTGTGAAAAAACTGACAAAGTTGGAATAATTGACCAGATTCTGTCCTTATCCACAGCTGATCCCACAGAACACAACAATCTCTATGACAAGTACCCAGATATTGTGAAGCAGCTTCAAGACAGACTGGAGGAGTACAAGAAGAAATATGTGCCCCCGAACTTTCCCCTCCCTACGCCTAAAGCTAACCCACAAAACTTTGGAGGGGCCTGGACCCCAGGCTGGTGTTAATAAACTTAACAATGTGTTAACCTAATTTTAATGAACATTTAGCTACATTACTTCAATTTAACTTAAAGTAGAATAAACAGAGTTTTATTGGGGGGGGAGTATCTTTTGAAGCGGATTTTAAAATAAACTACATTTAAAAAAAAAACATATCCCAATAGTGTGTGCTTGTTATATATAGCTACACTATTAATGTATTTAGTGATGTTTTATAATCGGTTCAAAAAGATAATATCGTTCTGGTATTGTCTATAATGACCTACAACTAGATCTACTGCGAAATGTGGGATATAGAAAAACAATGTGTCAGAAGTACATAAAAACAAATGAAGCCTACTAGCAGTAAGTAAACAATAATTTCAGTTCAATGGTTTTAAACACAATTTCGATTAAATTTTTTTTCGCTAATAATAATGAAGTACAAAATTCGTGTCTTTTAGAATCAAAGTTTTGTATCAACCGAACATTTGTCCGTGCCTTTTGTTTCTTTTCATTTGTAACATTTTCCAAGACACTGACATGCATTTCTATGCAATTTCTATACAACCCACCGATGTTTATATTACATTATTATTAAATTTTTTTATTTTTTTTTTTAGGAAACATTCTGGTAGATATACAGGCACGCCCGTATAAGTTTTGTATGGTCTGTCTGTTCTGTTCATCCGTCTGTCAAGTTTTTTAAAATAAAATTACCAATAACTTAATTAATAAGTTTTTGGCATGAAAAGATCTACATAAGGAATAGATCTATGGTGAACTATTTCTTACATTATTCGTAGCCTACCAGATTGGTCTAACTCCAAATCCCCAAAGATTTGCTACATGAAGAAGTTATCACATAAAAATTCACTATGTAGAGCGGCGAAATCCTTTTCAAAGAAGATAACACTAAATGAATCTCATCTCATGTCCATAAATTTTCATCGTATGGGTGCTGTGTCAGTTCACGTAACCAAATCCTTCCATTTTTCCCGGTCTGCAGCTGTTCTTAGCAGGATATCAAGAGAGAGGCCAGTCCATTCTTGTACGTTGTCCAGCCAGCTTCTCTTAAATAAATAGATGTGATTAATTTACTTTTTTAAAAATGTAGATTTGTTTGTGGAGGCACTACAGGATTTCGCCAGCACAACTGTATTTAAGCCCCGCTTTAAACGTTCCAGTGTGGACATGTTGATCGTACCCCCACCAGCTATACCCTACACAGTGGACACTGGCACCGCTGCTCCCCGGACATGTGCAGGTTGAATATGTAAACATTTATAGGTCAATTAATGTTCCGCCTAGGGCGTACTTGTCCTTCCACTGACCAATGCTGACCTGTTTAAAACATCCATGTGGATGTGACATATTGAAGGTCAACTTGTCCGAGTCTCTAGATTTCTTGTATTTGTCGTTGACGATACTCCAAACCTTATCAAAATGTCTCCAGACACTCTCGAGTGTCTTGCCGAGTGTCTCATCACACGTCACGCACTTCAGTACGCAAAGGTCTCACGACGTTAACGCACTTCACACAGACTTTTTCAAGACTGACTTGTGGGCTGTCTAGTCCGTCGTAAAACAGTTTTAAGGAAGTATTCTGAGCTTCGATGTCATCGAAGACCACATGTGTGGCCGTATCCACATTGAACTCCCACCACACGTTGCTAGGAGATTCTGAGTGCTGACACTGTGCACACCAACACTTTGTGTACTGTCCATGATAGTCTCCAAAACTGTCTCTTTTCCCCTGAAGTGTATTTGTAGACTTTCTTCACCATCCCACTTCCAGTTCGGAATTTTCGCTTCTCTTTCAAATTGTAAAAAGGATGAGGATTGAGTGTTGGGCCAAAATTCTGGCCTATGCGGACTGACCATCTGAACATCTACTCGGACTGTCAAGTCAGCTACAGTACTGATGAGCTCGTACAGATCTGGGTCTTGGTGTTGTTCAGGGAGATGCTGCATCTTAAGTTTCTTGGCTGGGATAAATCCCACATGGCCTGGATTCTTAGCACATACCGCAAAATATTTGTGCAGATCAGCTTCTCCATCTTCTGACAGTTGAGTTTCATGTTAAACTTGACCTGGACAATAAGCATAAATTAAGTAAACATTTTTAAAATATTTTCTCCAAAACAAACTTAAAACTTTGAAGTACAAAGTTAGGATTACCTAACAGTTGGTAACATTGCATGCGTTTGAAATTTATTTGATGGACTGTACTCTCAGACCTGAAAATAGATCACAATTTGTATGTTTGAGAAATTTACATAGCTCTAGTATAGAAGTTTTAAAAGTGCAACTATATGATACATACAATGTTTCGACATTATGCAAATTAAATAATATATTTTTACTTTATAAAAATGTTAATTTTGAAGTTCAACAGTTTAAAAAAATTAAAGTTTTTAAAGTTTCCCTTTTATTTTTTTTTTAAAGTTTTTAAGTTTCAGCTCTTTAGAAAAGAAGATGTTAAAGTTCCAGTTTATAAATTCAAAGTTTGGAAGTCTTGACTTTAAGTCTTCGCGTGATCTTGCTGCATCTTTCAAAGGTACGTTGTCTGACTTGTGCAAGTCACGTGATATGGTGATTGTGGCAATGTTGACTCCTGTACAGGTTCACTTTAAAATTAAATCAAAGAAAATTATTAATATAATATAATAAAAATATAATATAAATAATTAATGTACTCTATACCCAAATAGTTCAAAATCGTGGATGTTTTCAACCAGAATCAACAAGCTTATTTATGCAGTCTAAAATTTAAATCATTTAATTTAACAAATAATTATTTTTTATGCTTTACGATTTTACTTGCCAATCTGTTTCAGTATTAGTAGCCTAATGGTCCAGCTGACTGTGGATAAGACTCTCAACTACTTATGTGGCACGTACATTTAATTCTGGTCACGATGTTATGATGTGAAAAATAGATCACGTCATCATCACGTGACTCGTTATTAATTAAAGTTTCGTTTTGTTGACGTAATTATCTTTGTTTATAACACAATAACGTCTGATCTGATCTTCTAGACCTATTATGAGGCAATATAAGAAAATTTGGTTTCGTTAATCTCAGTAATGTTAAATCAATATAAATTTTAGTTCAGTCATCAAAAGAGAAAATAGAGTCTACAGTAGGACTGGTCTTTTTTTAATATAAAAATGTTTTCAAATGTTTTTGTTTTTTTAAAGTAAGACTTCATGCTCATAAATCAAACCTAATTTGATTTGTTTAAATTTCTTTAAATTAAACCTTTTGGCTTTAATACTGGTATGAATAATTCATTTCAAATATAATTAATTTAAATACATTTTTTAAAATAAATAAAAAATGTTCTAGTCTCAATAGGGAGACAAAAACAGCAACTATAGTACAGCAAACAATAATTAGTTCATATTGAGTTATAAAATATAGAACTTGCCTGGAGGATACTAAACTCTTCTTTTATTTCCATACAATGAACTACAAAAAACATTGACTAGCTGAAACATTGACTAGCTGAAACATTAACTAGCTGAAACATTGACTAGCTGAAACATTGACTAGCTGAAACATTGACTAGCTGAAACATTGACTAGCAAGATGAGATGTTTTGTCTATTTAGTTTGAACACTTCTCGCTCAATCTCATTTCATTCCGTCCGATTGACTTAGACAATGGAAATTCCCAAAGGAAGCGTACACTTGGTCGTACAAACTGGATCTATCTGCCAGGGACGCAGCAGTAAGTATTGAAGAAAGCTGTGTTAGAATGAGTTGCTACTTGACACCAGGACACACGACACAGCTACTCATACACAGTTAGCTAATTGTGTAACATGAGTGAGCTTAGTAAACGATGGCACAGTTTAGCTCAGCGGTTCTCAACCTTTTTAGTTCGCTACCCCTTCTTACAATTGGCCACTATGCGGCGACCCCCAATCGTAAATCATATTTTCGCTAATGTTATAAAATGCTATTAATAATGTAAATATCTGATATGAATTGCCAAAGCTGTATGCTATTCATGAAACACTAGATATTTCAGCTTGTAACCAAACTACCAAAATAAACAAATTTTAACTTTTTTTTAGGCCTGTCTGTATCTATTTACTTTTATATCACGTGATTATTCTATAAATCTTTTATAATTATGAGGCACTTATGGAAGCCTCACAGAGCATAGTAAACAGATAAGGCAACTGTATTCTACATTGGTATAAAATTGTTGCGCCAGTTAGGGAAAATATCAACGTAATTATGAAAGTTGAGCTTATTTATTTCTGCTTCATCAGATCAAAAATTGTAAGGCGATCTTTGCAAGAGCCAAACGAATGTTTTCATCTGCATCAAGTCTACTTCTGTATTGAACAAGTTGGAAAATTCTGTTTCGCAAAGATATGCTGTTGGAAATTGAACTCATTTACGATGACCAAGATGTCAAGCAGAGGGTCTCTTCTGTAGTTCACTTTCACTGTTATTAAGTTCCTTTGGATACATCAGCTGCGTGGAGAGGGTGGAACTGATGTGTGGGCGACATCTTTCCGACCACAGCTAATGCCCAGGCATTCATCTCACCAAGATGATCCATAGTCGCTTAGCGACTGAAGGAGGCCATATATATATAAATTATACATCCAATTGTGGTTGTGTTTGATTAAAAACTGTATGACTTTATCACGAATATAAAAAGAATCGTTTTAAAACTTTGCCTTTTGACAGTGATCTGACTTCAATGTGAAATAGCATGTCATAAGCATCGAACTCATTAAATAGCTTTGAAAGCAGTGGACAGTTTAAAACACTCGGTCTCAGAAAATTGAAAGCATTAACATCGTTTTCTATGACTTCTTGTAATTCTTGTGGCATTTCCTAATATTTTCTATGAGTTTGGATGCTGTCTGGTGACTCATTGTGTAGCAAAAGTTGAAATCCAGACCAACAAACTTGGAGCAGCAGCTTTGTAGACACCGCAAATATTTTCGCAAGAGATCTTATCTTCATTTCTAAATGAACACATTTGTCAAATACATCACGTGCTGTAGTAGTCGTTTAAGAAGAGAAACCAGTCTTTAAAATAGCCATCCTCACGTAAACAAGTAATTGTGATCCATTCGCTGATAAATATTTGAAATGGAGCCACACCATTCACAAGTCTGCATCCAACATCACAATACAAGCCTTCACCTGGAACCCCAAAGAATACATGGCGCCGATATTTGGAAACCTATGCTAAGCAGATGGGCAAGTTGTTGGAACAGTTGGAGAGGTTTGTCCAGAACCGAGATGCCTGAAGAAAGGTGGTTGATGGCCAACGCCCCAGACGGGACTACAGGCAGAATTATATAATTTCCATAATTTATATAATCTGATCGATAAATCAATAGAGAGCTATTCTGTCAATACATACGAAGATTGAGCTAAATTTTATTTACTAGGTCTAACATATTCGGCTCCAATCATGACTCGAACAACGTTTATGGCCACTGGCAACAGGAAGTCATCAGCGATGATGTAAGGTTTCATAGTTCTAGCAAATCTGAAAGCCACCAAATAAGCTTCAACCGTTCGATGACTGCTATGTTTTGTTTATTGTATTTGGCAACAGTAAAGTTTGGGGCTTTCTTGACCTAGTCAGTTTACATTTTACATAATGTATGTCGTTGTCGGCCATGCTCGGATGCTGCGACAGTTAAAAGTTTGGAATGATTCTGATTCAGTTGTTTGCAATATCTATTCTCAAATGACAAGTAAAGTAAAAAAAAAAAAAAAGTAGCTATTCATGCCTGGTCGTGCGCTTTGCGCGCTGGACTGTCGTTCGGATTTATCGACGGTCGAGGGTTCAAATCCTGCCCGCTCCCATCCCCCGTCGTCCTGCGGGAGGTTTGGGCTAGGAAGTAAACTATCTTCAACTCTGAAGGAACATCCGAAATATGTAAAACACTTTACAA